GGCCATCTACCAAGATTGCTTGGTGTCCAGTTAGTCTGTCAGAAATAATTCATACAGATAGCAGATAGGGAGAGATCAGAAAGGAGCCACACTAGGTGCTTTGGATTGAGGCTAATACACACGGTAGAGGGACATGCTCTGTTCATTTCAGAGGTTTACATCCCCTTTAACCATCTCCTGGTGCTCACCATAAAATGAAATATCAGCTTTTGTTGGGCTGTACAATAAATTCTTGTGTAGCAGTACTCTAGCTTTTTTCTTACAGCGATGGCTGCCTGTCCATTAATATTTCAACGTCTGCAGTGACTCAGGGTGACCGTTGTTTATAATGCGGATGGGAAGCAAATGTTCCGTGCCTGACATGACCAGTCCAGGGAATTTATATTATGATGGCAGCCTGCCAGACAGCTCCGGAGAATTCCTCGGTCACTTCACCCTTGAAAATGACTCAATGTAAATAATGCATCTGCACAGCAGTGTGTAGCCTATTCTTCCCCACTTCTCCCTCAGCGGCGTATAGAAATATCCACCACAGTATGCTATAAATGGCTGCACCTCATCACTTAAAGTGTCAGCACATCCAAAATACATTTTTTTTCATTAGAGACCCCCAAATAAAATTGGCTCTCTTTGCGCTCTTCTTTTGGCCTTGTGAGCATGAGGCTGTAAAGTGGAAATTGCGGGTGTATTCCCGCCAGGAGGAGATCCTGGTCATATGACCTGTCAAAGCCACATGACCAGCTCTGTTCCTGTCATTTGCTGTGATGAGAGGAGAGAACCCCGGGGCACACCACAGGTTCCACACTGTGGGCTGGGTTGCAAAATGCCGGCAGTGCCTGTAACATTGCAGAGTATAGCAATATCCACTCTCGCCATTTAAAAATGGGCCACTTAGTGCATTTTATATTCAGTATTAACGTGGACCTTCACTCCTCAAAGGGATCTTAAGCACTTGCTGTCTGGGGCAATTTTTACATTTTTGACATACTTGTTAAATTTAGCAGTGGCCTTAGAATTCTTGCTCTCACCCTGACGTTCGTGGTGTTATCTCACATGTGCGGTGCAAATTTACAGGTGAAACTCAAAAAGTTAGAATATCGTGCAAAATTTCATTTATTTCAGTAATGCAACTTAAAAGGTGAAACTAATTTATTTTTTTTTATTTTTTTAATTCAAATATTTATTAATTTTTCATATATATATATATTCATATAAAAAAGGGAAAAAGAAAAAAAAACATAACAAAACATTTCTTCAACGATCTCATATAACATATAAAATTCTTAATCCTATCTCCTTCTATTTTCCCCTTCTTATATCCCTTCCCTCCTCCCTACCACATCCCACCTCCTACCCACTCTGCAATTCTCTCTTACATCTTTCCTAAAAAACCAAGGAACTTCACTTATCACTTCCCATTGCTTCACATATATTTGTTTGATGTACAAAATCTTCCCATTTCCCCCATCTCCTATTGTATACCTCCATCTTGTCTTCTTGGATATAATACAATTTCTCCATCCTACTAATCTGATTCACTCTCTCTACCCAGTCCTTTTCTCTTGGCACCTCTGAACTATGCCAGAATTTAGGTATCAAACCCTTTGCTGCATTCACATAGTATCATATACCCAAATCCTTGTATTTATTCACTGGTAGCTCTGTATTATGTAATGAGCACACTTCTGGATCTAATCCTATCTTTATCCCTGAGATTTTCCTTATTAAGTTGACCATTGTCTCCCAGAAGCTTTGGATCTTTGGGCACTCCCACCATATATGAAACCATGTACCAATCTTTCCACACCCCCGCCAACACTCTTGTGCTCTCCCCACACCCATTTTATGTTCAACACTCGGTGTAATGTGCCATCTTGCCAAACACTTATAATTTACCTCCACCTCTCTCATGCTGACATTTTCGTGTGTAAGTCTATATATCTTCCTCTGTTTATCCTCATCTATCTTTATCCCCAAATCCTTTTCCCATTTTTCTATGTACATTGGTTTTACTTCCGTGAGTAACTCAGTGAGAATCTTATAAATTTTTGCCGTACCCCGTTTCCCATCTCCCCGTGATTCTAACAACCTCTCAAACAAGTTCCACTTCTTTCTCCCTCTCATAGGTTTCGGAAGACCCTCAACAAAGTGTTTTAATTGGTGATATTTCCACTCATCAATCTTAATGAAAAGTTCCCCTCCATCTTTCTTTAAATCCTTCAATGTTTTCAATTTCTGTCCATCCATAATATCCCTTAGTTGAATATCCTCCTTTTTAAGCCATTTTCCCACACTCCCCTCCATACCTGGTGGAAAATACTCCATATTCCTTAGTGACATTAATTGTGAATTAAAATCCCATTTCATACACTTATGTAAATTATCCCAAACCTTTAAAACATTCAGTGTATACACACTTGTGGTATCTTTTAAACCTCTGTATTGTGCGGGTGCCCATATGCTTCTACTCAGATCAGGTGAAACTAATTTATGAGATAGACTCATTACATGTAAAGCAAGATAGTTCAAGCCGTGATTTGTCATCATTGTGATGATTATGGCTTACAGCTCATGAAAACCCCAAATCCACAATCTGAGAAAATGAGAATATTGTGAAAAGGTGCAATATTCTAGGCTCAAAGTGTCCCACTCTAATCAGCTAATTAAGCCATAACACCTGCAAAGGGTTCCTGAGCCTTTAAATGCTCTCTCAGTCTGGTTCAGTAGGAATCACAATCATGGGAAAGACTGCTGACCTGACAGTTGTGCAGAAAACCATCATTGACACCCTCCATAAGGAGGGAAAGCCTCAAAAGGTAATTGCAAAAGAAGTTGGATGTTCCCAAAGTGCTGTATCAAAGCACATTAATAGAAAGTTATGTGGAAGGGAAAAGTGTGGAAGAAAAAGGTGCACAAGCAGCAGGGATGACCGCAGCCTGGAGAGGATTGTCAGGAAAAGGCCATTCATAAGTGTTGGGGACTTTCACAAGGAGTGGACTGAGGCTGGAGTCAGTGCATCAAGAGCCACCACACACAGACGGATCCTGGACATGGGATTCAAATGTCGTATTCCTCTTGTCAAGCCGCTCCTGAACAACAAACAACGTCAGAAGCGTCTTACCTGGGCTAAAGAAAAACAGACCTGGTCTGTTGTTCAATGGTCCAAAGTCCTCTTTTCTGATGAGAGCAACTTTTGCATCTCATTTGGAAACCAAGGACCCCGAGTATGGAGGAAGAATGGAGAGGCCCAAGGACCCCGAGTATGGAGGAAGAATGGAGAGGCCCAAGGACCCCGAGTATGGAGGAAGAATGGAGAGGCACACACTGCAAGATGCTTGAAGTCCAGTGTGAAGTTTCCACAGTCTGTGTTGATTTGGGGAGCCATGTCATCTGCTGGTGTTGGTCCTCTGTGCTTCATTAAGTCCAGGGTCAACACAGCCGTCTAGCAGGAGATTTTGGAGCACTTCATGCTTCCTTCCGCAGATGAGCTTTATGGGGATGCTGACTTCATTTTCAAGCAGGACTTGGCACCTGCCCACACTGCCAAAAGCACCAAAACCTGGTTCAATGACCGTGGGATTACTGTGCTTGATTGGGCAGCAAACTCGCCTGACCTGAACCCCATAGAGAATCTATGGGGCATTGTCAAGAGAAAGATGAGAGACATGAGAATGAACAATGCAGAAGAGCTGAAGGCCGCTATTGAAGCATCCTGGTCTTCCATAACACCTCAGCAGTGCCACAGGCTGATAGCTTCCATGCCACGCCGCATTGAGGCAGTAATTGCTGCAAAAGGGGCCCAAACCAAGTACTGAGTACATATGCATGCTTATACTTTTCAGAGGTCCGATATTGTTCTATGTACAATCCTTGTTTTATTGATTGCATGTAATATTCTCATTTTCTGAGATTGTGGATTTGGGGTTTTCATGAGCTGTAAGCCATAATCATCACAATTCTGACAAATCACGGCTTGAACTATCTTGCTTTGCATGTAATGAGTCTATCTCATATATTAGTTTCACCTTTTAAGTTGCATTACTAAAATAAATGAACTTTTGCACGATATTCTAATTTTTTGCCTGTATGTTTGCATATGCTTGCAGGTCCTATGCTCCTGTTTGCATTTGCATGTATGCATGGGCAGGGGATGGGAATACATCACTGCCAGTTTCCTTGGATGTAATTGCCACCATTTTTAAAACTGAAAAGCAGTTGATCACACCTACTTTGGTGTGATCAAATGCTTTTAAGGGCAGAGGAGGGATCTGGGATGCCCGGATCTCTGCATAAAGAGTGCCTGTCACTGCCTGTTGCCGTCACAAGGGATGTTTACATTCCTTATAACAGCAATAAGGCTCGGTTCACACTGCCGCGACTTGGGATCCGATTTGTGAGACCGATTTAGTAGGTTTCATCCACTTGAACATACTGATCCGTACACCTGTGCAAAAGGCCCTTTTTACCCGTGCAGGATGCATAGTTGTTCCATGCAGCCGCATGCAGGCAGGCTGCTCAAATTAATGACAGGTGGGCAGCTACATGAACCTCCAAGCACATCCCGGAATGTACATCCATGCAGGACCAATACACAGATCAGAACACAGACCGACTGCATGGGACTTCTGTGCATCCCATGCGGGTGAAGATGGTCCTTTGAAAAGGTGTATGGATCAGTACGCCTGTGTGGACGAGGCCTAACTGTAAAGGGATTTAAGTCAAAAAGGTAAATAAACGCACAAGAGAAAATCATTGGTTTCCTTATGCAGTGGGTCATGTTGAAAGCTTTTATTTTAGGGGCTTGACAGTATCAAATAACTGCATCTCGTAGTTGTTTACATTCCGCTGTTATTTGACGCGGTTGAGCACATTCAGGCGTTAGGACACCACATATCGGGCCTGAAGGCCAACCAGCAAAGGCAACACATAGCACAAGATGGGCCAACATCACTTATCCTTTGGTGCTGCTAGTCTCCCTATCTGTATCGCTTCTCTTTCAGAGAGTTTTCGGACATTTCTACAACTCAGAGAGCTGGAGCTGCCTTTGAACAGGATCCGGCATATAAAAATCGAACCCGGAGATTTCCCACATCTTGAGGTGAGGAACCTTTTTCTGTTCTGATAATCTATCCCTGAACTCGGCTCTAATCTCGAGGAAACAAAGCTCTGATGATGTGCAGTGATCAGGCATGCTTAGGATATTTGTGGATCTGTATTGGGTCAGATATACTATTAGGTACTGTGGACAGGATAAAGAGGTGGCTTTTTCTTGTAGTGTCACTAGCCACATGTTTTTTTACCATCATTAGCAAAAATGCAGTCTTCAAATATTTGCAGATTGTCGTAATATTCTAAACCATATTGGGACTAGTAAATGTTCTGTGCAGAAAAGGTGGTCCTTGCAGAGGGGGCTTGCTTTGGGTGCCTGTGGTTGTGTGGCTAGAGGCCCCAGTGCTACAAACTAGCCCTGAATGTAGTAATTATTATGAGTATTGTGTGCCCATTCAGTGATGTAATAACAAATTGTTATGAATGTATAGTACAGACTTCAGCAGTTTGAGGAATTTAATGAATTACATGTTGAATTGTGGTACATGGTGTGCTGTTACAGTAGCAGCCAGTTACATTGGTGGTCATTGGAGAAGTGCAGTTGATGTAGAATTGTATCATTGGTGTTCGGTGAAGGAGAGCATGGTACATTAACTGTTAATGGAGAAGTCCATGGTATAGTGGCAATCAGTAGAGAAGTGCCCCTGTGAGGTGGCGTTGGTCAGTGGAGAAGTGCAGGATACAGTGTGCAATCAGTGCAGTGGTGGCCAGTGGAGATGTGAAACAATATGGTGGCAGTCAGAAGAGATGAGCATCAGTACAGTGGTGGTCAGTGGAGAAGTGCAATAATGCAATGGCAGTTAGTGCATAACAGCATTGGTTCAGTAACAGACAGTGGAGTGTTGGTTCAGTGGTGGTTAGTGGAGAATAGTGTTGGTTCAGTGGCAGTTAGTGGACAATAGTGTTGGTTCAGTGGCAGTTAGTGGAGAATAGTGTTGGTTCAGTGGCAGTCAGTGAAGAACCATGTTGGTTTAGTGGAGAACAGCTTTGGTTCAGTGGCTTCAGTGGAGAACAGCATATGTTCAGTGGCTGTCAGTAGAAAAACCATGTTGAATCAATGCTGGTCAGTGGAGAACTGTGTTGATTCAGTGGCAATCAGTGAAGACAAGCGTTGGTTCAGTGGCAGTCAGTGAAGAACCGTGTTGGTTCACTGGAGAATAGCATTGGTTCAGCGAAGGTCAGTGAAGAACCATGTCGGTAAAGTGTAGAACAGCTTTGGTTCACTGCCTTGGGTCTTGACAGCCCTGCAACACATTTGCTCATGCGTGGGTGAAGAAAGCTCTGTTTGTGTGACCAAAACTTAAATACAGTACATTTTATTTGGGTACAACGTTGCATGACCACGCAATTGTCATTTAAAGTAGTGCAGTGCTGAATAGCAAAAAAAAAAGCCTGCTCATGGAGGGGGTAAAATCTTCCAAGGCTTAAGTGGATAATCATTAAATGCACAAACCCCAATACATATTGTATACTATGTCTTATATCACAGGTACTGGATCTATCATACAATAGCCTGTCTCCAGGTGACATCACACACCTAGGGTTACTCCCACGACTCGGAGTACTCTACCTGACAGGAAATCGGCTGACTCAGCTGCCCCCTGACCTGACCACTCCACCATGGTGAGTACCGCTCATAGCTGCAGATTGAAAATGATTCCTGTTGTTGATCCTGTGCTTGTGTCTGATTATTTGAGATGATTAGTTTGGTTACAGTATTATAGTAAAAGAGAACCTGTCACTCCTCTATGTTGAATCTTGCCGGGTATACCTTTGCTCATCAATCCTGTATATTTGACACCCAAGGCAGATTATTTTTTAACTAAAAGAACTAAAGTCAAAGTATAAATGGTCACCAGAGGTAGAGCTTTATGGCAGAAGAGGCATTTATTTAACTCTTTTGCATGGCAGGGCTATGTTAAACAGGAGCAGTGGGACAGATTGCAAGGTTACAGCTTGAGCCATTAAGAAAAAAGGCCCAGATTGGGAGAAGATGGCGGTGATGGGGTATGGAGGGGGACCTCGTATCAATAAAGGAGGACACTCTGTGGGGAAGGTCTGGTATAACATGCTAGCATGCTGTACATAGTATGGCAACACCTCTGGGTGCCCACTTGGTACAGTTCCATTTTAACATTCCCAGTGATAAAATTAACCACCTCCTGCCTGCCATATAGTCCAATGACGGACACAAGGTGGTTCTCTCGTTCTCATAGGACGTCATATGATGTCCTCCCATTCTCACCACGCATGCTCGGCTCAGGGAGCGCACAGCGCGGCGATCGGCGGTGCGCTGTGACCCTCGGACACAGCAGATCACCGATCACAGAAAGAGCCGAACATGTCGGCTCAGTCATGTAATCAGCTGTGTCTAATCACAGCTGATCACATGTAAACACAGAAATGCTGGTTATCGACATTTCTCTCCTCTCGAGCTTTCAGGCTAACAGAGGAGAGGAGAGACGGTAATCATCTTTCCGCTGAGGGGACATGTACACTTATCATCAGGGCACTGATGATCAGTGTGCCCTGATGATAAGTGTAGCCCCAGCAGTGCCACCTGTCAAAGTCCATCAGTGCCAGCTGTCAGTGCCGATCAGTGCCACGTGCCAGTGCCTATCAGTGCCGCCTATCAGTGTGCATCAGTGCCAGTCAGTGCTGCCTAACAGTGCCAGTCAGTGCCACCTAACAGTGCCAGTTAGTGCCGCCTAACAGTGCCATTTATCAGTGCCATGTAGCAGTGCTGCCTTTCAGTGCCCTTCAGTGATGCCTGTCAATGCCCATCAGTGCCACCTACCAAGTGCCTCCTCATCAGTGCCCATCAGTGCCACCTATCAGTGTCCATCAGTGCAGCCTATTAGTGCCCATCACTGCAGCCTCATTAGCGCATATCAGTGAAGGAGAAAAATCACTTATTTACAAAATTTTATAACAAAAACTAAGAAAAAACATTTTTTTTTTCAAAATTTTCAGTGGTTTTTGGTTTGTTTAAGAAAAAATTAAAAACCCAGAGGTGATTAAATACCACCAAAAGAAAGCTCTATCTGTCACAAAAAAATGTTAAAAATTTCATATGGGTACAGTGTTGCATGACCGCGCAATTTTCATTCAAAGTGCAACAGCACTGAAAGCTGGAAATTGGCCTGGGCAGGAAGGGGGTATAAGTGCTCTGTAGGTTAGTGGTTAAAGGCCTAGTCTGCCTTTTGAATCATGTTTCATGTTAAACCTGTTTTAAGGGTTTAACATGAAATATGGTTGCATACCCCATCCCCAAAACCTACACCACTACCCCTCATATCTGATCTCAGGGGAGCTTCCAGTGTGCAGCATTCTGTATACCTTCAATCTCATCCCACCGCTGTAATGTATATATATGCGGCTGCAGGCAGGTGCTCCTTAGCACCCAGTCACCCCACATATGCTTTTATGGGGGTCGGAGGTTCTGTTCTGAGAGTTCTATCACTTCATACCTCCAGAAAACTGGTCAAGCTGTCCATGATACCTCTTGGTCTCTGTTAGTGATTGGGAGCCGGTGGGACAGGCTGCCTATTGTCATTACGTTCCTTTCCCCCCACCTTGAGTGTTCTTTCTTCAGGAGAGCATCCCACCTAGTACTCGGTGGTCAGCTTCTGCTGATAATGAGAAGAGGGGTCTGGTAGGCCTTTGTTTTTGTCCCATGCATTGAAATGGATGGAGCTTTGCTTGCTTCAGAGTCCCAGTGCAAATAAAGTGCTAATGAGATTTGTAATGCCTGCAATTGTCCATTGTAAAGCCATACTGCTGCTTTATAAATTGCCCCTATGTACATACACCGGCCACTTTATTAGGTCCACCTTGCTAGTACCAGGTTGGACCCCCTTTTACCTTCATAACTGCCTCAATTCTTGATGGCATAGATTCAACAAGGTGTTGGAAACATTCCTTAGAGATTTTGGTCCATATTGACATGATAGCATTACGTAGTTGCTGCAGATTTGTTGGCTGCACATCCATAATGTGAATCAACCCCTTCGCCACATCCCAAAGGTGCTCTATTGGATGGAGATCTGGTGACTGTGGAGGACATTGGAGTACAGGGAACTCATTGTCATGTTCAGGAAACCAATTTGAAATGATTTGAGCTTTGTGACATGGTGCATTATCCTTCTGGAAGGAGCCATCAGACGATGGGTACACTGGCACCCAGTGTGGTCTTCTGTTGCTGTAGTCCATCTGCTTCAAGGTTGGACATGTTGTGCATTCAGAGATGGGATTCTGCATACTTTGGTTGTAACAAGTGCTTAGTTACTTTTGTCTTTCTATCGTCTCGAAACAGTCTGCCCATTCTCTTCTCACATCAACAAGGCATTTTCCTCCACACAGCTGCTGCTCACTGGATATTTTCTGACTATTCTCTGTAACCCCTAGAGATGGTTGTGCGTGAAAATCTCAGTAGATCAGCAGTTATTGAAATACTCAGACCAGCCCGTCTGACACCAACAACCATGCCATGTTCAAAGTCACTTAAATCCCCATTCTTCCCCATTCTGATGCTCGGTTTGAACTTCAGCAAGTTGTCTTCACCACGTCTAGATGCCTAAATGCATTGAGTTGCTGCCATGTGATTGGCTGACTAGCAATTTGTGTTACCAAGCAGTTGAACATGTGTACCTAATAAGGTGGCCGGTGAGTGTATATACTGTATACCCTTTATGATAGGTCAGTTCAGAGAAAAGATTATTATGGAGAAGGTGGTGGTCTGTGATGCTTACATATACGAGGGGCGACTGAAAAGTTCTCAGTGTACCCATAAAGCATTTGTCTTAGCCCAATTTTATTTTTGCTCCTCGTAGTACATATCTTTGCAAGGTTCCATACCAAAGTTCTCACAAATAGCTTTTTCTTGGTTTCATTTATTGAAGACTGAAGCCCAGAAGGTCATCATTGTCTGAAAGATGGAGAAAGGGATCAAACGTGCTGTTATCCAATACCTGCTGGCTGTCGTGTTTGTTTTCAACAGTCAACATTCTTGGGACCCACCGACTTGACACCTTGTGCATGTCCAGCACTACTGTTAACCACTTCCCGTCTGGCCATTGTATATAAACGGCCGGACTGGGGCAGTGCAGGGGCGACTTGCCGTTCATAAACAGCGCCCGCCATTTTGGAGTGTGTGCGCTCCCTGGGAGCGTGTGGCACCGTGGAAACACTGATCACTGTATGGGACCTCTATGTGAGATCCTGATCATGTGATCGCTGACTGGCCAATCAGTGATCACATGAATAGTAGTAAGCAAGATATCACTTCCTGACATCATTGCTTACTACGTGTGAAATCTGTGAATGACCACAGAGATCACATGGTACAGGGCTATTCACAACAGCCTTGTACCATGTGACAAGTTGTGACCAATCACAGCTCACACAGTATTTCTCAATGGTTGCAAAAATGCAGCCAGAGAGAAGGAGAAATTATTGCTTTTACAGCCTTTATGATTGTAAAAGCAATCAGTGTAAAAAAAAAAAAAAACATCTTCATCACCCCTCCATCAAGTAGTAAGTACAGTGTCACTATGGTGACACTGTACTACTAGGGTGACAGTATGTTAAAAAACAAAAAAAAGCAAAACATAAATAATAATATAAAAAAAATAAAGTAAGAACATTTTTTAAAAATTATAATTTTTGCTTATAAACTAATTTGGGTTATTTTTTCTTTACTAAAAATATAACTGAATACAGTTTGGCCAAGATTTATGAAGGAAGATTATTTATTTGCAAAATTGTATAAGAAAAACACTTTTTTTAAAAAAAATGTTGGACTTTTTCATTTACCGTATTTTCCGGCGTATAAGACGACCCCCTACTTTTCCTGTTAAAATGTAGTGTTTGGGCTATACTCACCGTATAAGACTACCCCTCTTCCAATGCACACTAGTGGGAAGAATCGTGCCCCATCATTGGTGTCAGTGGAAGGAATAGTTCCCCATCATTGGTATTTGTGAGAGGAATAGTGCTCCATCATTGGTATCAGTGGTAGGAATAGTGTCCCATCATTAGTATCAGTGGTAGGAATAGTGCTCCATCATTGGTATCAGTGGGGGGAATAGTGCCCCATCATTGGTATCAGTGGTAGGAATAGTGCCCCATCATTGGTATCAGTGGGAGGAATAGTGCCCCATCATTGGTATCAGTGGGAGGAATAGTGCCCATCATTGGTATCAGTGGGAGGAATAGTGTCCCATCATTAGTATCAGTGGGGGGAATAGTGCCCCATCTTTGGTGTCAGTGGGAGGAATCGTGCCCCATCATTGGTGTCAGAGCGACGAATCGTGCCCCATCATTGGTGCCAGTGGGAGGAATAGCACCCCATCATTGGTGTCAGTGGGAGGAATAGTGCCCCATCATTGGTATCAGTGGCAGGAATAGTGCCCCATCATTAGTATCAGTGGGGGGAATAGTGCCCCATCTTTGGTGTCAGTGGGAGGAATCGTGCCCCATCATTGGTGTCAGTGGGAGGAATAGTATCCCAACATTGGTGTCAGTGGGAGGAATAGTATCCCATCATTGGTGTCAGTGGGGGGTGGAGGAATAGTGCCCCATCATTGGTGTCAGTGGGGGGGGGGAATAGTGCCCCATCATTG